GGAATAAATGCTCTGCCTGCAGTTCTGGTTCCACTCGCAAGCATCTCCGCTCTCAGTTAAGCTTCACAGGTCGAAGCATCAGCACACTTGCATTCTCGGTCTTCGATTTACGCCCGTCCGAACCCCGGCTAAACATAGGCAGGCGGGCAAAACACATCACAAGCCGTTCGCCTTTCTTGGATAAAAGCCACTTCATCGGCAACTTCCCCCCTCCCTTTCCTTTTTGCTAGCTAGTTCATCACTTATCATCGCCAGTAGTGGGAGGGCTGGCACGAATTGAAACTATGACTGCCTATACACCCCACCACCCCGTTGCGGTTTTCGCTGCCGCTGTCGTCGTCCTCGGCTCAATCCTCACTTATTTGAATCGTCGATGGAAGCAATATCGCATGGCCAGAGCAAACCAATGCCAACCACCCCCCACCCTCCGTGAATGGGACCCTCTTTTCGGTCTCGATGGGATTTATCAGCGGATGGTTGAGGCCAAAGAACACAACTTTCTCGAGAGAAGTGTCGACCGCTTCGAGGCCTACGGTAACACATTCCAAGCTCGTCGGCTGGGCACAACCGTGATCGCGACGCGCGATCCCGAGAATGTGAAAACCATTCTCTCTCTTCGTTTCAAGGACTATGGTCTGGGGGATCGTATCCACTCCTTCGGACCGCTCCTCGGCCATGGTATCTTCACAACAGATGGCGAGCATTGGGCCCAGTCGCGGGCTATGGTCCGCCCGAATTTCGCCAAGGAGCAGGTCGCCCATCTTGACATTTTCGAGGAGCTTATGGATGATCTGCTGGCCCTCATACCCACCGATGGAACCACCGTCGATCTTCAAGATCTGTTCTTCGGATTCACCATCGACTCTGCCACCGATTTCCTGTTTGGGCACAGCGTACACAGCTTGAAGAAGCGAAGGGCGGGGCACCCTCAAAGCATAGAGGAAGAAAAGGATTTCGCCAAGGCATTCAATTATTCTCAGTATGCTATTGCCACAAGAGCGCGCTTGGGCAAGCTAAGATACCTCTATCGCGACCGCAAAGCCGACCAATGCGATCGTATATGCCATGATCTAGTCGAGCAGTTTGTCGACAAGGCGCTACGGACACGTGAGCGGTACAGTCAAGAGAAAGACACACAGGAAAAGCACAGATACTTGTTCCTTGATAGTCTGGCGCAGCAGACTGGTGACCGGACACGAATTCGTAGCGAGCTGATCAATGTCCTCCTGGCTGGAAGAGATACCACCGCATCGTTACTGAGCAACTTGTTCTTCATGCTTGCAAAACACCCCGAAGTCTGGAACAAATTGCGCGAGGAAGTTGCAACCCTTGAAGGGCGTACGCCTACATATGAGCAGCTGCGCAACCTGACGTACCTGAAGTACTGCCTGAATGAATGTAAGTCCAAGGTCATTCGCTCGCTCTTTAGGGTCACTTGCACTGACTGACGCCCTCAGCGCTTCGTATTCACCCCGTGGTTCCAGCTAACGCTCGTTTTGCCCAAACCGACACCATTCTTCCTACTGGTGGTGGTCCGGATGGCAAGTCCCGCATCTTCGTGCCGAAGGGCAGCGTTGTCTCGTATTCTGTCTTCGCGATGCACCGGCGCAAAGACTTCTTCGGTTCGGATGCGCAAGAGTTCCGACCCGAGCGGTGGGCTGACCTACGCCCAAGCTGGGAATATCTTCCTTTCAACGGAGGACCACGGATTTGCGTCGGTCAGCAGTATGCACTGACAGAGGCAGGTTATGTGACAGCGCGGTTGGCACAAAAATTCTCGATACTGGAGAGCCGCGATCCAGGCCCTTGGGAGGAAAACCTTACATTGACATGCTGTTCCAGGAACGGGACGCAGGTAGGACTGAGATAGTGCGCGGGTTCAGCGGCGTTTTTCGAGGAGTCATAATGTATTTTTGGAAAAGGATGGAGGAGAGGGCCACTCGCATCACGTTTCCTATTTTTGCAAGCTGTGAATCAACCTGAATTTCCACTTCTAAGTGCACATCCTCTGCGGCATTTTAAGCAGCAATTGGCGGCAACAAGCGGCATTTAGGTGCCCTGGCTTGCAAGAGTTCAGTCCCAGCCAGGCAAAAGAATAGGGCAATTCTGTCAGTCTTCTGAGCAATTAGTATAAGCATAGGCTGAAATTGCGACGCGACAAGTCATCTCGACCCGAGACCAGGTATCCCTTCTGTGTGCGGGAAAGTGCAAGAATGGTCTGCCAAGAGGCATGCTTTTTTCAATTGTCAGATCCTAGTCAATAGCGACGCCACAAGCTGACCAAACACTGGGATTCCATTCAGTCATGCAGCCCTGCTCATCATAACTGACGCGCGTCTCATTCAAAGGAAGTCTTTGCCTCAGCATGCCGATCCACCATGAAACATCTAGAATGAGCGCCTAAATGTCTCTTCATGAATCAAGTTCAAAATATACTGCTCAAAGCTCGTCCTGTGTCAAACAGAGATGGTATGATTGCTAATTATTCCGAGTTTATCGCTTATCAAGAAGCCTTGCCCGAGAGTCGAAAACTTGGCTCAAAACTGCGGCTCAGCCCGGGACGGCTGCAGGTTCAACAAGGACCAGGGTCTAGACAGCCGAAATTAGACCGGGGCGAACTGGTGTCGTACAGCTCAGTCCCGCGAACAAAGAAAGAAAGAAAACTACTCGGCCGTAGTGGCATGAGTAAGAACATGAAGCAGAAGAACATGGCCGAGACATGGAGTCCGTCGATGTTGACAGAACCTAAAATTAGCGAAGGCAGACGACTAAGACAGCGATCAGCGCACAAGGCTTCTAACGAGGCATGCATTTGTATGATGATGCTGTGACACAGCAGCATAACATACCTAGTAAAATGTCTGGGACTCACGCATTCTGAACCAACGGTGCAACCAGGAAAGTCGGTAGGCAAACCAACATGATCGGGCATGGCCTGCCAATCCGTATTCCCTACTCAGTGCGATGTGTCCTTTCTCTCAAGCTTCGCATTTGGCTGCGTCAAAGAATATGCCTGGTCAGTGGATTTGGGACCTTTTTTGGAATTTCCCAGTCGTTTATGTATATTTTGTGGGCCCGACAACAACACGTTTGTTTCACGACACCTCGCCCAAGCCGTAGGTCGTGTTCTGGCGGTCTCTAATATCCTCTGCCGGTCTGCCCCGGCCAAGACTGGCCTGTTCATTCTTCTTTGAGGCTGGAACTGGATCTATCAGAAGTGGCGGTGAAAATAGACAAGACTTAACCGAATGCTTCTTCGGGCTTCCATTACCGGTGGATCTACCTGGGGCTCTGCAAGTTCCCCGATTGGACTAACACTGATCGCCTGACGCCATTTCACTTGGCCCGGAATGGGTCAGACTGTAGTGGACCAGCCGATCGGATCCAGATCCGTGGTGGCCGTCTGGTGTGTAGATAGTACGATCGAGAAAAGTACGGTACGTACCATCTCAGGGGACGATACATTGCTTCAAGCTGTATCCCGATATGGGTCGGTGGAAGTTTATTGACCTGTTCGCAGTGGGTTCCGGCATGAAAAGGGAGAGCCGAAGAGGAGTGAGCAGGACTCGGTAGTGACCAATCCATTTGGAGGGGTTGTTTTTTTTTTTAGGTGGGGAGACAGCCTTCTTGCTTGTCTGGTGTGGTGTACTCTATCAGTGGTAGTGCTTGGAATTGAACTGCTCCAGAAAAAGAGACTGCCTCAGATTCGACTGGTGAAAATGGGTACCAGCAGTCAAGTAAGCGACAGTCATCGTGGCTGCATGTCCCAATCAAGGAAATAATACCCTCCATGCAAGAAGAGCTTTGTTGTTTTGGTTTGGGTGTCGTTTCTTGTTAGCATCATCCAAGACTTCCGCCCGCGATTCTGCCACCACCACCCGCCATCCTTACTATCTCTGTACAATCTTCTTACTACTTCCAAGTTCCAAACACTCTCATACTTTAACTTTTTAAGACCAACCACAATACTGCGAATCCACCACTCTCATCATCTGGGTGATGATTCTTAGCTTGGTCCCGCCAATCCCGCCCACTTTTCCTGTTTTGACTTCGCGGTGCCCACATAGCCTAACCGGCTCATCGGTGCCCAAATACCGGGGATCCAGGGGACCATCGAGACGCGGAACGCCATCCGCATGAGTGGATCGGAGAGTAAGAGGCCAATCAGCCCAGAACCGTTGATCCCGACAGAGCGTCACACATAACCCTGCGACGAACAGTCCAACATCACTACGTGTTCCGTTCCGCCCTCGACTCCTTGTTCCCTGATCTGAATTAAACCCAATGGGATCGATGCCACGGCCGCGCCTGGGCTTTCCCCGGCCAATCGGAGCCTCGCCTGGTCCAGATGGCAAGGGCCGACCGAGGGTTGATCCTGATACAATGTAAAGAAATCGAGAAGCATGACAAAAAAAAAACCCCCCCCTGGAAGAAGAAATAAAACAGAAAAGAAAAGAAAAAGAAAAAGGGAACAAGAGTCGAAGGAAGAGATGACTCTTAGTACTAACTTGTTGTCTACAGTTCCTGAGATTCAATATCCCCATCTTGCTTCTTCCTCCCTATCGGCGGTCAAGGAACTGCAGTTGTATGAAAGAAGAAGAAAATAATTGATTCATTAAATCACTCTCAAGGTCTTCATGGGAGCTGCAGCTGGTCATTGAATCAGGTTCTCATCTGCTAGGCTACCTGCCACTGGTCAGCTTCAGGCCTCCTCCCCCTTCAGGGAGCTTTTTTTTTTTTTTTTTTTTTTTTTTGACACCCACACTGACAGAGAATGCAAGGGAAGCAAACGAACAAAGCCGGATCCATAGGGCGGGTGCCTCATCGCTAGGCGGCCACATGGCACGGTTTGAATTACAAACCTGGTCGACTGACCCGCAGAAGAGTGGGTGAAACTGATGGTTAGACAAGTTAAGCAAGGACGAGGTTTCGGGAGCAGAAAAGGATATAAATATCATGGATCCTCAAGACCGCCCCGGAAGTATAGTCCCCAACGCTCACGCATCCTTTAATCGATTACCTCGACTGCACACTTTCTGCCGATTCACTCCTCCCCCAAAGCTTATTTCAGGCCTACGTCCACCTCGATTCTTTCCGACATCGATATCTAAATCACATAGAAAGATTCACAATGGACCGCAAAATCACAGCAACCAAGTCGGGAGCCGGCAGCAACAAGCTGGATCAATCATCCACGCCCACTCTAGCCGACTACCAGGCGCAATGGGCCAAGATTCACAATGACACCATCCGCCAAATTAAGCAGGCCCAAGGTATGCGGACGCAGCTCCAGCGTGTATCTTTTCACCGACACTGACTTTAACCGATCTTCAGAGGAAGAAAGAAACGCACGCGCTACGAGTCGAGCACACTCTTCTCCGTCCAAATAGCACCACCTTGACTATGTGGGCTGTCAGCTATTTGCTAGCGGCTTCCCCGTGCTTTCTTTCTATTCTTCTTGGAAACTTTTTTGACTATATGTGTTTTATTGAGCCTCTTCTGTTAGATTTAGCGATTGTTGCTCCGGATATACCATTTCCCTCTTTTGTTTTCTTTAGTCAGATCTTAGAATCTTTGGGTTGTTCTATGATGTATCACATTTGAGGCGCAGGATTTTTTCTTCGAACTTAGACCTATCTTCAGTACCCTACAGGTTCGTTCATTCAACGGTCGCTCTGTAGTGAGTGGGGGGGAGGGGGGAGTGGAACATGGTCAGGTACTTAATCTGACATCACCCACATCAAAGGCAATTTGAATTCGAACCGGACAAGGTACCGAACCCAGAGCCCAGCTGACTGGGAAACAGTCTGTACGATGACGTCGGGGGGGTGCTGGTTTTCCGATCTACTAAGTACTTGTAAGCTTCGCACCGCCACCAGAAGCTATGCATAGTATCCGAGTGCCATCGTGAAAATCATCATGTCAGGTAGGTTGGACGGGGGCAGGGGGGTGAAATATGATATGACACCGATTCTTGGTTGACAAGGTACCATCATCAAGGTTGGGTGGGGCACTGGGGCTAACAAAGAGTCGTTATTTCGCCAATGGGCCCCACAGTTGTCGACGACCTGGCCTTCCATTTCGGATCACACGATCGTAGGCCCGAGTCGGGTCAGGTACTGTACATAAACCAGTCAAGGGATTTGCAGCCAAGCGATCGAGAACTTGATTTCCAGGAGATCCATAGGTAGTCGAGTATAACCTTCCGACCATCATCTTCGATATGTGGGACTGACCGATGAGTTGGTTCTGTGTGGATTCGCATACCCGTCTCTTCTTTGTAATACATAGTACATAGTAAATATCATTATGTTTCTCACCTTCAGCCACTGGGGAACGGAAGGGCCAGTTCCCGGACTCGGTCAAATCTGACTTCTCCGCCAACAAAAGTACTTACGAATTTGTACCATACCTGCCTGTCGCAAAGCAGGGCTCAGGGTTGCCTGACCTAATGCTTTGTTTGGGAAAGAGGTTTTTCCTCAGTGCCAGCAACGTTCACATGACATTTGACGTACAGTACGAGCATACCTACTCTTTTTTTTTTTTTCCTTTTTTTTTCTCCCTTCCATTATCTCAGATTGATCCTTTCCTGCCTTTCCTTCTTCCTATCTTTCAATAGCCCTATACCTGCGGACTTAGTAGACTACCTAGTACTAGTCAGCTAAGACCATCGTGGCCCAATGGAACGGAGACTGAAGCACGCTGCTTTTCTTTTTTTTTTTTTACAGTGTCCGTCAGAACCTATATTCCGATTTGTTCGAGCATCTCGGAGCAAAGCAACGAAGCTAAGCAAAGTGATACAGTACAACAATAGGTAGGTTCGAAAAAGAAAGGGGGGGGGAAAGAATTAAAGCCGCTGGATCCGACTGATTCTTTGTTTGACAGGTTCAAATGTGGATCACTTGTCCCCACCAGGCCTGCCGGGGCAGTTTCTTTCTTTGTCTTATCGCATTTATTGCAGTTCGTCCTGTGTAGTTAGTCTTCTGCACGAGGCACAGGTAGAGATAGATGGCTAGAGGCAACTCGGCAGCTGCAGGTATCGTTGAAGGTTATCGCGAAAGGAGAGAAAAAAGATCCCTGCATTCGTTTCGGGCTATTGAGTAAGCAGGAGCAGGTGACCTACATCGGTCCTGCGTCCTCAGTCAAGCATTTCGATCCTGCTTTCCTGTCAGAATTTATCCGGGGGGTTTTTTTTGTTGTTGTTCTTGCAATGATAAGAAAGAACGGCGCTCGACTGGAAGTAGCTTACTTTCCTCGATACTCCAACTAGCTTGCATGTCAGTCACAGTGGCTAAAATATGGTAGCAAGCCCGCAGTGGCGGCAGTCGAGCTAAACCTGGTCGATGTTTGTCCTTTTCATCTCGGCTATCACACCCGTCGGGCGCCATGCATCAAGCATGCGATCACGAGTTGGCGTCAGTCTTTACATTGGTGATGATGGTGGAGGCGATACATGGTTAGTTGACGCAATATTAGTAATGACGGTGAAAGATAGTCTGAAAGGGCTGTACTGAACCCATCCCTCTGAACTCGTTGAGATTGAAAAGAAGACTTTCCCAATGGGCTCAATGAGACATATATGTCTTTCAATCTAAGCAAGTAGGCTGTGCCAGATCGTAGCTTAGCATGTTGGGTAGCAGAAATGCACTAGAACCTAGGAAAGATAACACCGGATACACAGATAACGAAGTGCCTATGAGAGGAAGAGAGAACCACATCCATCCAATTGACTCATGTCGTCATTATTCTGTTAGCATTAATTATGCATATTAACTGATTCTAGTACATATATAAGGTAGCGGGGAAAAGAAAAAGAATAAGGTAAACAAGAGAAACTTTTATCACAGCACATTGCTTCCATTCCGACATTGAACGTCTCCCCACCTGGCCCCCCTGCTAGGATCGGCCTAGACAAGAGCATGCCCAGTGTTCTGCGCACGACGAGCGGTACCCACGCCATCAACACCAAGCTCCTGGTTCTCACCGAGCCATGGCTTGGCTGCCTCCCCCATTTTACTCTCCTTGGTGAAGTAGACAAAGAGACCGACCACAATGAGAACGAAAGCGATCGGATAGAGGAAGTGAACGGAATAGTGAAAGACCTGGATACCGATGATCAAGCCCCAGAAATTCATGGTCAACATGGAGATGTTGAAAAATGTGGCTGACGAAAGCCGGAACATGATGGGTGCCAGGGTGTAGAAAATGAAAAGGACGATGGTATATCCGGCGATATAGCCTCCAACCTTGCCATTCCAAGTGGCACCATGGAAAGAACTCCGATCAAAGATAGCGCACTGCACACCGTTGATCCACATACCCCAGAAACCCATCTGGCCAATGACTTCGTACATAGGACGCTTCGAAACCATGAACTCCTCGAACAGGTTGCTGAAGGCGTAGATGGTAGACGCAAGCAAGGCGAATAGATCTCCTTTGACCTTGTTCGACGCGGCATAGTTAGCCCCACGGAGATAATCTGATGCGATGAGAAGACCGAGACCGCCGCAGGCGAGGAAAATCCCGAGATACTGCGTGATGTGGTACCGGACACGCAGGAAGATAAATGAGATGATCACGATCACGATGATTGTCCAAAAACTGAACAGCTCGGCACTCAGAAGTGAGGTGTAGCGATAGGCCAGCACCATGAAGTAGTTTCCCTCAACGTCGAGAAAGGAGAGAATGAAGTACTTCCAGCAGTCGGTGTACAGCATGCGAAACCACTTCTTGAAGCCGTACTTGTAGATAGTGATACTCGTGTACACCAGGTTCAGGAGCACATAGTTCCACAGCGTCTGGAAGGCGGGGATACTGGTTCCTTCATTGGATAGAAGAGTGGAAAATGTGGAAGAGCTGATGTTCGCGAGAGCAATAACTTGACTGGACAGGTGGCTTGAGTTAGTGACGGGGGCTTGGTCTGGAACTTATCGAATGGATCTCACCCTAACAAAATGAGCAGCCAAAAATCGCGAGTGCGCATATAACGGAAAAGCTGTCGAAACCGTCCCTCCTGCGACTCCTGCTGCTGTTCCCCTGGTTGGTCCTGAGAACCCATCGCCGGCGACTCAGTCACCGAGTGAAGCTGCTCATTTTTCTCTGTTGGTGGCTGAGGCTGTACCTCGGTGACTGCCGAGGTCTTCTCACTTTCAATGTAGGTCGACATGGCGAAATGGAAGGACTAAGATAATGGGATTTTGAAACGGTGACGAAAACCGGACCCCAAAAATGCTCGTAACAAAAAAAAAAAAAAAAAAAAGCAAGAGCTTTTCGCCAGCAATAGTGAGCGCAAAGCTCCGAAGTCGCTCACTGCCTGTAACAAAGGGCGCAAAGAAGAAAAGAAAAGAAGAAAACTGGAGTAGCGCCGGCACCTGGTGGGTTTTATAGCAGCGTGGATTCTGGACTCTAGGCTCTGCCCAGTCGCCTCGTAAAAAAAAAAATCAGAAAAGACAAGCCAGGTTGACATGGACTAGGACTAAGTTAGAAGAAAAATCTTATCTAATCGCTGCGCAGGGGCAAACCCGCACCAATGGTGTTGGAAAATGACATGCGATAACAGCCCTACTAGCCTACAATAGCTTAGCGTGATGTCTAGTGAGTGGGATCTAGCTCCCTTAGCGGGGTACTTAGTCCGAGTAGTACTTCCATTCCATCATGGCAATTTGGTGCAACATGGTCTATTAGCCGATGGGTACTGTCGACACTTCATTAAATGTCTTATGGCATGCCAGATAATTGATAAAGACTTTACTCATGCTCACACGCTACCTCGATGACAGGTATGTTACCTCATCTTACTTTTTCGTGCTGACTGGGGTGTGTGTACTGTAGGTACTGCTGTACGTACGTGCCATACACATAGTCTAGAGAGGGTGGGGTTGCCACGAGCGCAGACTGGACGGCAACTGGAGTCGGACCCGCGCGAAGTGGCAACTGCCCCTCTTCACTCTCAAGTCTAACCAGTGGCCTGATTGCTGTTGGTCATGCTTTCCAAGCTTGCTTCCAACTTTGAACTTGATGGTGGAATAGACCTTCATGCATACAATGTCATGTTTGATTCACTCATTTCAAAATTATCAACAAATCACATCTCGACGAATTCTTCATTCCTAGACAGAGGGTCACGAAATGAGGAGAGATCTTGCTTCTTCAAAGAAAGGACAAATGTATCTTATCAGTGGACGGCGAGGACGACCACACCCCATGCGGGCATCGTGAATGTAAAGGTGCCATTGCTGGACTTCACTTGATTTTCGGAGGGAACCACCAGATTCTGCTCCAGATCGGTGTTCGCAGCATCTGGATCACTGTCTGAGACAAGACTGAGGGTTCCAGCCTTCGCTCCCGGTACCGTTACGCTCACGCTCTCGGACTCCTCGCCATAGTTGGCCAGCTTGACATAGTATGTGTCGCCCGAGTTCGAAGCCACCCAGTACACGGGACCGAAGCCAGAATCAGAGGTCACCTCCTTGATAGTGCTTCCGCGGTTCTCGGAGAAGAGCTTCTGAACATAATAGCTCGTACTTCCCCAGGCCATATCAGGGTCCTGGGTGAACGGAATGAGATCCGGCTAGGCGAAATTAGCACCAAGACTATTGCTACTGCTAGAATCACTCACCGTCCACTGGGTGGAATTAATCAGCTGCAATACTGGAGCATATGCTGCCATCTTGACCAGATCACTGTTCCTCTCGAAGCCGATCATGTAGATGGCCTCTGCAACTGAGCTTTTCATGTTGGGCCATGTGATGTCCCAACGCGAGTATTCGCCAATGAAGTAGCCCACAGTACGGTTGATGTTATCAAACTGACCGAACTGGGCTACAAGATTGTCCGGGGTGTTATAATTGTGGTAATCCACCCAGGTGCCCTCAGGCATTTCATCCGGCAAGCAGCTCGAGTCGGCCGTGCTGGAAATGAGCGTCAGGTCCGGATACTTGGCATGGATCGCGTCATAGAATGCTGTGAAGCGCTCGGGATATGAGGCACATCCTCCACCCAAATTGTCTTCATTGCCGATCTCGACCATTGTGAGGCTCCATGGTTGCTCTTGTCCGTGCGAAACACGGAGGGCGCCATAAGTGGTACTCTTATCACCTAGGATGTACTATGGCCAGTCAATATAAAATTATAGAGGTCGTAACCATTCAATCTTCGGGGTTCGCATACCTCGAGTTCATTAAGAACATCATCTACATAGGGAGTCAAAGCATCGCCCGTCAAGGGGGTGCCACCACCGGAATCCAAAGCGAATCCAGCCCACACGCCTAGAACTGGCGTGAGACCTAGGTCTTCACACCAGTAGAAATATTCTGCTAGCCCTAATGCGTCGGTGTTCCAATAATCCCAAGTACCTTGTACAGATTAGATTGTCACGGACATCAACATCTGAGCGACGATGCACAAACCTTCGCGTCCTGGACGATCTTCCAATGGACCTATCGTCTCATTCCACTTCCATCTGTTGTCCACACTGTTCCCTTCAAGGTTGTTTCCTCCGGGAAATCTTAAGAAGGATCCCTTGACGTCCGCCAGATAGTTGGCAATTTGTGGGCGTAATCCATTCTCCCTATGAGAACGAGCAGATGAGTTGATCAATCATGTACTGGAGGGGCATTCCACAAACCTCGACTTGTATGTTTTCCCATAAAGAGTTATATAACCGAAATATAGAGAAGAGCCCGCAACGGCCTTGCCATCTACGGTGAGCTCGTACACAACATGGCTGTCTGGAGCTCTCTTGCTTGGGAACTTCACAGACGCTTGCGTGAAGGTCTTCGAGTTGGACTTGTGGGTGAAAGTCTTGGAACCATACACTGTGCCGGTGCTGTTTCCAAGGAGGCGAACTGTGAATTTGCCTGAGTAGTCACCCTTTATCCAGAAAGAGCTCTCGAACTCGTTTCCATCGACAGGAATGCCCCAGTATCCATCGTTGATGAAGCCGACAGCCCCGGTGGCACCCGATGCGACGTCTAGCCTGAACGAGTGAGGGATTGCCGAACTCAGTGGGTTCTCACTGTCGACAGCAATCGTGCCCTTTCCGACAGCAGTCCATGCAGTGGTACTCGGCGAAGACCCCTGGGGGCCAGGATTCTGCAGCATCTGGCCATGAATACCTCCATCTCCGGAGTGATTGATGTCCTGAAAGTAGCTTATCAGATGCCATTTCATCGCCAAGCAATGCAATCTGATCATACCTCGAACATGAACCCGTACAGGAGTGGGCTAGAAGCATTGCCCCCCGCCTTGTTCACAATCAAAGAAAGACTGCATGCTTGCTGAACCAAGGAGAAGAATAAAGTAAGAGCGGCGATGCCTCGAAGACCCGAAAATATCACCATCTTGCAGCCTGCGAAGGATGGTTTTGATGCCGTTATCTGAGGGGAATAGCATAGTGTCTTTATATGTTCTCAAGCTATGATATGGCCAAGCAATCTACTCTCAAAGGGGAAGGAAACGGTGGTGGATTCGGAGTCAGATGAGGGCAAACAGAGGATGAGGGGTTGGGAGACCAATGTGGAGATGCTGGGTCTGGGAAGCAAGACAAGCAGCAGATCGAAGGCCGACATCGTGAAGCGAGATCGTGACTGAAATTTAGCCTCTGCCGACATAACCCCGACAACTGGCAGTCATAATTCGCAGGTAGTCTTAGGGTGAACGTCTTGGCCAACGGTACGATATGTCGATCGATGCCTTTCTTGAATTGTACACCTGCATGCTTCTACTGGCCTGTGAGGACTAGGTACATGTTTTGATGCATTATTCCGGGCTTGGGGACACTGTCTTTCCTGCCTCTTTTAAAATGTCCGGGGATCTCAGTCGTGTAGTGAGATAACAAGCTTTGTGGCTACGGGAATACCCTCAAAAAAAGAGAGAAGGATTCAATTGAAGCCGATTGACCGACTGAAACTGGGCCAGGCAGCGACTTCAAACACGAAGACGATTTCGAGGATCAGGGCAATATACTTCTTGGCTCTGGATATGGAAAATGGGACTAAGGTAGCATTATGTCGACCGTGCCCATTTCCCCCTCTTTTGTCTCTTCTCAATTACCGAGCAGGGTAAAACCCCGGTGGAACGAACCCCTGATCAGTCTAGTATCTGTCCCTGAACCATTTCTCGATCCTGCAATGGGCGGGGTAACCCAGTTTTGTACCCTTAATTTGGAGATACTCAGCAGATGCAGTGGCACACTCGACTCGACTTTCCTTGGCCATACTACCCATAATCAAGACAGAACACCAGGGTCGCCTCCTACTCCGGAAAATAGCTTGGCATAAACTCGAGCCCAACTTGTTCTTTGATGCTGACCCACGACACCACTTTGAGCCTGGAGCTCAACGAATTCTACTGCATGACGGTTTATGGGCGTGTCGTTGGCCCCTGCCTACTACCCCGCACGGCATCGACAGGAGAGATTACCATTCGGAGCTAGATGCGTGTAATTACCGGCCTATTTCTGCGAACAGCCTGCAAGGTACACCTGAACCACCCGCCTCGCTTGCCTATCTACTTGTTTTGAGGTGGTCTACGGTCTAATTATGTGCACGAAAGGTGCTCTGTTATGGTCTGGCCCTTTTCATTTGGAACCGAAGACGGTGTTGGTCATGTATTTGACGGCCTCCACCATCATTGGCTGTATTTTCCCTTCTCTGGTTGCCTTCTTGACGCTCATTGATGCTCGTGGATGGCGGTTGTGCATAGTATGTCCGAGGACGAATTTGCATATTTCTATATGCAATATATAATACATATAATATGAGGTTAAAATATATTAATTCCTCGATGGTCTAACGGTCATGATTTCCGCTTGTCAATCCCACTCGGGAACAAGCGCGGGAGACCTGGGTTCGACTCCCAGTCGGGGAGGATTTCCTTTTTTTCTTTAAGAAAGACCTTTCTTTCATCTTTGCCATAAGCCTGCTTCATTCACCGCCTTGCACCTTGCATACCCCCATCAGGAACTATACTCACGCACTGAGTCGATCCGGCATAGTGACTGACTGCTTAGTCCTCTTCAGGTTGGAATCATCTCCTTCTTGGCATTCTTCATTCTTTCATCATCGCGCCATCACTCCTGCTTGTTTGGTTGGTTCTATACACCCGACTATTTCCAGGGTCATCTTTACAGCATCTCCTCATCTTCTCAAGACTCCAGTATCCGTCGCGCCTCCTCCGTTTCTTCTTCAACTGGCATGTTGATGACCATGAGGTAGAGGATATTCTCAGACCCCATTAACATCACCCCCCATTCAGATATGTTGAGGCATGATAAGCCGGCATCTCACTTTTTGCAGTACTAGCTCTGAATCTCGCCGATCTGTCTAACACCCAGAGACCCAACCTCCCGCGGCACCCGAAGCATCGGCCTGCGCTCAGAAACACCACTGGGATACGAAGAACCGTTGGAAGATTCACTTTACAATTCCTGACCCCCTCCTGACAGATGCGATGACGACCGATCTGATCGGGGATGCACGAGCGTACTTCGACCTCTCGAGTGGGCCCAGGGCCATGGTAGGCTGCCTGCGATCCTGAACCGAATCCAGACTGCTGCCTCTCAATCTCCCTCCAAGCCTTGCTGTTCGGACTTGCTCGCCCGTGATCTTTCCGCAATCGACCAAGCTCAGGAGCGATCCACTGCTGGCTGCATGGCTCTCGGATCAGCGTATCGAGAGGTGAACCGAGACTTTAGTCCCTAGCCCAAGGTATAATCGGGGTTATCAATCATCTGTCAGTTTTTAGTTAGCCTAACGAGCGTGCAGCTAGCATTTAAGTGCTAGAGAACAGTGGGAGGGTGCAATCCCTGCCGCGAGACCCTTGACTACTGTGTCTCTGGGCCCACAGGCTCGGCCGATAGTAAACAGACAGATCAACACGATATGTTCTAATCAAAAGCCTTTCATTCGATTACGTTTAATCATCTAGATCTACTTTATATCCGGTATCCAGCTCACTACACCAAACGCCTGCGAAGTGGGTAAGTGACTTAAGAGTGACTCGTCGACAAATAAGAAGAACTCTAAGCAGGAACATTGTTCATCTGGCTCGTCGGATGATATTCCGAGAAGCTCTCGGGCCAGAGGAACATCTTATCCTCCTTCGAAGGAGTTGCAGCAACAAACTGGGGAATCTGTGACAGATTAGCATCAACAAGCGCCATGAAAATGGCCCGCCAAATATATCATTCCAACTTACAGCTTGCCTGCTGGAGATGCGCCGCCACATGTTGGCGCGAGGGTTGAATCGGGCGGGTTTGCCCACGCCGCCGGTTTTCTGCTGATCCTCCTCCATGATGGCTTGGACTTCTCTCTTAACATCCGCAAAGGAGTCGAAACCGATATAGGGGATCTTGTTTTCGATGCAGTATTCTTCCAGACGTAAGCCCTTCCGGGCAAAGAGCACGTCTGCCTCCCGCGCAGCCGGAAGATCAGAGACACCGTCTCCGATGAAAATAATGAGGGGGATTTCCCCATCCAAGGCACTTTCCGCCGCAAGAGCGCGGCCCTCTTTGACGGATAGCGCTTTGTCATGGCCAAGCTCGGTGTCGTGCCGCCATATGGGCTTCCATTCGGACCCATCGGATCTGATTTCCGCGTCATTGGCGACAATCTGAATACGGGAAGCCTGGACAATCCATGCATTAATGGTGCGAAGAAACCCAGGGACCACCATTGGGAACACCATACCTCTTGCTGTCCAAGGAAAGTGTCCAGCACTTTGCGGAGGATTGGCTTAAGCCCTGCGCTGATAACGTTGAAGTCGATGTCGTTGGCCACGCAAAATTGGTGGAATTCGTGGAAGCCGGGGTCGATGTCTAACTCCTTCTCCATGATCTGAAAACCATCTTCGAAAGGGACTCGGAGTGAGCCCCACATCTCCTCCGAGACGTCTCGAAATGAGCGCTCGCCCGACTTGATCTGTTCGTCGAGCAGCCGACGGCGCTCTTCGCCGCAACCTAAGTTATCGAACAGGACATGGCCCGTGTCCTGCATGAAGATGGTGCCATCGAAGTCTATAGAGGGCGGAGTTATTAGCCGCTAGGGTGGGGAGGATCCGCAGGGGCGTTCCTGGATTCTCACCTGAAAAGCAAACGATTTTTCTGGTTGTGGGCGACATACTGGGCTTGATTTTGATGGAAAGGTGATGTATGATTGAAGGCAATTTCAGGCCGGCGATGGGCTCAGTGAAATAATTTTCTCACGTTGAGGGAGTGCGAATCGTGGCGTTGCAAAACCGGAATGAATCCAATGACGTACCCGCGGAAAATCTTACCTACGAGCGCTCGGTTATGAGGGAGGAGGGGTGGATGATTAGTTAACCGTGCTGAAGAGACCGGAGCCCCGGGGGGGACCGAGTGAGTGACCGACCCATCGTCCCCGGGGGGTGCAAGTGGAGCCTAAAGGGACCTGACGGGCTGCCCACATCGAAAGAAAGCAATTTCAGCCATTGTTGTTGGCTGCAGAAGACTGGACCCGATCGGCATCCCGAGGGACTGGAAATTGTGGAAATGGTGGAAACGGTGGAACTTTGGGGTGCACACATTTTCTTCAATTCTGCACTTCAACGTCATCGCCTTAGTTAAGCGAGGCAACCAGGAGAAGAAGGCAAGTGACATAACCCATTCGTTCATACTACAGACCGTGTTTCATGTGGCTTTTGCCGGTGGGTGCTAACTACTGCTTACTAACTACTGCTGATGGACGGTCGAGCCCTCGCTCGGCTGCAAACTCGGACATGGCTGGCTGGCTCCAGCCAAAACAATTCAAATGCAATCAGTCACCTACGCATATCAGGGTATTCGGTGATTGGGCTCTGTCCCTAAATTGGCATTGTTTCCCACCGAGTGGAAGAGGGTAGAAAGGGCAAGAGAGGTAGAAGATCTAATGAATCTAGCAAGGTGGTTCCGGATGAAGCTTTCTTCTCGCCCCACCCGATGATGACATTTTCCGTTTCCCTTCTTTCCATTTCTCACGATCGCTTTCTGCCTTGCCTCCTTCCTCCCTTCTCCTGAGATATGCATGCCTTGAACTTTTCGTGCTACACCATGATATCAAAGCGCAGCGCGATGGAATCACGAGGAGCATCATTATTCCCATCTGCCCCTCGAATACACCACTCAACTTCGGCACGAGTCGCACGATAGTGATTACATTACAGCAGCCGGGTGGCTTGGGCAACAACCAGTTATATGCCCTTGGCTTAGCCGCTACCCATGTTCGCGCGCATGACGCTCGGTCGGGTTGACCCCAATTTCGAGATTACTTGGGCAAGCGGTCGGTATCTTGAAGGAGACATCAATTTTCGGACTTGGCCTTTCATCCAATTCCCTGTCACAATGCTAGAGGGAAGGTCGACCAATCTGGAAAGCAGACTGAATCTAGATCCCAGAGCATATCGCCTCTAAATGCCTCATTGAACTCCTCATCACTTAGCTTCTTAGCCTGCGTGTTGTCGGCTTCCATGTTCGCTGCATCTACCGCAGGAATCTGTGCGGCCTGAGGAACGCGGCGCATGCTCAATGCCTTCTCTCGCAGCCTGCGTAGAGCATTCCATTTTGGCCCAGGACTGGGTCTGGAGGGAAGTTCAGTCATGCTGAATGACTTGTTCACCAGCTCCCAAGCTCGGTCTGCCCCGGGCACGTCCGGACGCACGTAGAGATGCCACAGCGTGTAGGTAAGCAAGTGGTATTGGGGATACGTGCTGAAATGCCACTGGTAACTGTTCAGGAGCTCGTCCTCTTTCAACTCTATGCCCAGAGACAGGGTGTCACACGCCAGTGCAAATGTTTCCTCCCCCGCACGAGCAGCGAACTCTTCCGCACCTAGTCTTCTCAGGTATTGTTGCCGGATGAAGACGCCGAGTTTTCCTAGAAGAACTCGGCCCAGCAAAATGGCAGCCTTCTGCAGCGGAATGTTGGGGTCGCAATACTTCAGATACTTCTCTTCAATTCTTTCTCTTACATGCTCCAACAGTTGTTCCAAGCTGTCCGTGGGGCTCTGGCTGTTAAGAATCCTTAAGGACATTCGAGAGGCTTGCTGGAGTGCTTCGTTGAGCTCTGCGGTAATTAGGAAAAGTGTCATCTCGGTCCATCCCTCTCGAGGGACTAGGGCAACATCCATTTCTGCGCAAATATCTTTGTCGTCAGCATTCAAGGGTAGCTTCGTATCGCATGAATTCTCCACCCAACCGGTCGAGAGCCCATGATCTTCAGCGACCCGATTATCGGACCCGCAGATTTGCCACCATAATCGCCGGCGAAGCTCAGACTCCAGCGGCGTGAACTTGAAATGCTCCGGGTCTCGATGAAGCCCAATAGACTGGGCGCTGCGGATGAGCAGGCCATTGAGAGCCCAACCGGAACGACCACCACTATGATTCCGACGACATCTCTGGAAAGTGTCAGTATGGTATAATCGACTAGGCCTGTACGCGGAAGGTCACCAGGTAGATCGCCATCGCCTGTAAAGTGGTAATAGTGGGCGAATCCAGAAACGCTGCCGTATGAAGAGAAACCTCTAGTGCTCGCTGAAATCGATTGAGCGCAGACTGCCGGTCCTGGTTTAAGATCAGGATAGTATCCGGAGAAGGTAGACTGGTGACGGCGGCGAAGTAGATTGCAAAAAGAAGCGCGCTCGTGCCTGCGGGTACTCGATTCGGGTTGTTGATGGCCGCGAAAATACGAGAATTAACGCTAGGAATATGGAGGAGCTTTAAGAGGGGGTCGACGTTATTCAGGTAGACCTGCCACAGCTGCGTTGCCTGTCTGCGCGACGGACTTTGAACGTACGAGTCCGGCGTGGGATCTGAGATTAGGCCATCGAATCCGCATGTATCGGATGGCCGCTGACTACTTGCATTGGTACTCCTAGGGCTGCTGATAGCCGATCGAATGTCGTTATCCTGTTGGTCAGGGCCAGTCAGTTCCAGGATAGCTCATTTGTGAACCAAGTCAGCACTACTAGCCTTCTCAAGCACGTGCGCAAAAAGGACCTCATCTATGTATCGAGTAGAGGCACCATCCTGGACCAGGAACGCTTCTGCTGGCGGCACTCCAGGCTGCACAGGTTGACCGGCCCTAGTCCTGTTGGATACACCTCCAGCATCCCGTACGGAGGAATGTCTCCTCCGATCATCCCTGCTCTCCACGTCTGGGTTTCCGGGTGGAGGCGAAGAGGAAGGGTCTTCCGAGACGCTCGCGCCTCGTCGATACCTCAGCTGTTGAATCATGGCATCCAAATGAGACAGTCGCTCCGAAAGATGGGCCTCTAATGTACGGCTGCGCGGTTGCTTTGGGGCCCTCCCACGGCCCGGTGGATAGACACACTCATGCTTTGCGCGCGCACAATGGGCGCATGGTCGCTGCCTGTCGCATTTGACTTTCCGTCTTCGGCACGAAGCGCAGCTGCGCGTATGGGCAGAGACTGGCTCCGCAGGGCGGCTTCGATGCCGCGAGGGGACGGAGACCTCAGTCGGACTGGTGGACGCTTCGGCGGCGTCCATGATGCCTAAGTTACCGCGCGCCGCCTTGCAATCCACGACGGCTTGCTCGGTACTCAAAAAAAACCTGCGACACTGGCAGTTGCGCAAGAAAATTCCAATGGAAGCCTGATACTCATTTCACCAGGCTGCTTCTGTCCAATTTAAGAGACTCGTGAGGACTACCCCGTGAGTTCCAGGACGAAGATGACATGCCGGTGGCCACTTATTTAGCGCATGGTAAGCGATATGAGGAACCTCGCGCCAAGCCGCATAAGCTTATGCGCGCCGCAAGCGCCGATAGTCACGTTTGCCACGGAGTGGTGACAGTGCAGGGAACAATACCACTTATACATCCGTATCCACAGGGTATCTTGTAAGTAGTCATGGAAAGTGAGACAAGTCAAACAAGTTTTGTTGTTATTTCTGTCACAGATGAAAGCGCAGGAAACTCCCGTCTTCTTGTTAAGTGCTGGCAGACATGGATTGCTAACATGGCCACCGCGCACTCCACAAGGTAAGATACGGTGTGTACATACGTGTACTGTACTGTTATGTATAGCTAGACAGTATGTATGTACTCCGTACTGTACTCTGTACTGGACACGACTACGTATGCCTGGAACAATGGAATTTTTACCTCGGCTTCCAACAGCGTCCCCACACCAGGATAATCAGGATAATCTGAAAGAGAAATCTCGAACGCAAGCAAAGAGCATTCCGGCCCCTCAGAGATTTGTTGATTGTCAAGTGGTCAATAATAATAACCACAATAATAACAATAATGTTGCTGGTCAGCCGAGGTTCAAAGACAGGAGGAGCCGACCAACAGGCCTGAAACAAGCTTGGTTGTAGGGTTTAGCCTGCCTCTGCCTCCCTTCTGCCCCCACTCAACCTCGGATATTTCTCCTTTTTCTCTCTTTTTATCGTCGGAGGACGAGTCACGAGTCACGACAGTGCGTACAGTACAACCTCCAGACAACCAGTCAATGAAACTGATTCGGTCTGCGAGTCTGCGACATTATCGAGGTTAACCCTCAGTGGAGAATAAATTCCAAGCCTTTCCCGGGCCACTTCCGCTTGAGGCGTTTGAGGCGCTTGGGGATCGCAAAACGGTCTAGTCTACCTAGACTACAATGCTACACATACAATGGTGCCATCCATCCCTTGGTCCAGAGTCTAAAATTGTTGTTATCTATGTACATGCAAATCTAGGTCGGTGTGAGACTATGGCCTGTCTCAGAAACAAAAGATTTGATCGCCGATTTTAGAAATCGCTCCTGGTTTCTGGAACCCCATCGCTACCAGTGTCTTCTTGCAGGCACTGACCATTGGCGGAGGGCCACATAACAGGATTTTGGTATCGGGTGATGGCGACGGTAGACGCTCGCAGAGCACCGCTTGGGTCACATAACCTGTGCCATACTGCCACGCCTCAGGCGCGGCGTCAAGCATGTACCAGAGCTTGAAATTCCTGGGATACTTGCGAGCGAAGTCCTCCAGCTCCTCGCGCAGTAGGATGTCATGCTCGGTACGGTTCGCGTAGATGAGGCTGATCTCCGTGGTGTCGCGGTCGTCCTCGCAAATGGCGCGGATCAATTGGTACATTGGGGTGATGCCAGTTCCTCCAGCCACCATCCCGATCTTCGTACACAGTCCCCTGCTATATCTCATGGATCCCTTGGGCCCTCGAAACTCTACCTCGTCGCCCACCTCGAGCTTGGCAAGGTATTGCCCGCTCAAAAGCCCATCTGGATAGCATCGGACGAGCAGCTCGAGGCGGCCCAGGTCCAGATTGTTCGACACCGGCGTGTACGATCGGCTGATCGTGGTGCCGTTGACAACCGCTCGAATTGCAACGTGTTGTCCGATCGGAAGACCGATGACTCCTTTCTGGTCAGGTAATGCGAAAACAAAGCGGTACACGTTCGATGCCAATTCATCCTTCCGCACCAACGGCAGGCGCTGGAACTCCTTGGCGTCCAGAAAGCCCTTGACCAAGTGGGGATCGGCTCTTGGGCGTTTCCGCGCCTTAATGCGAGGAGGGTATCGGAGGAAGCCCGAGTCGATTTGGGTGAACTTTGCAGCTTGCTGCGCAACCAGGCTGCCCAGCAGCGCGCAGACAGCCGTCGCCATGATGAACCCCTGGGCAAACTCCCCGCCCGGGAGTCTGGACACATTGAGCTTGGAAGGGACAATTTGGCCCAAAGCCTTCCGCATACCTATGGCGCCCAGGTTGCTTCGATTGACAGTATACAGTAAAGCTGTCGCCGTACCCAATGCACCGGCAATTGCACCCATTGATCGAGCTGAAGATGAAATTGGTGGTGTCGTCTTCTCGGATTTTGGAGGGATGACGCGAACAGCTTTCAGAGATACATATTTTTTGGCGTCTTTCAAGGTGCCGATCAAATACTCTTGCAGAATATCGCGCGAATCCTCGGAATGGCCAACATCTTCGAAATCGGCGGTGGCATCTGTGCCTGCGGTCTCTAGAAGGACCTCCGCACCTCCCGGATGGTCTTGGAGATAGTTCGTGACGTCGAATACTAATAAATCGTCAGTGTCTACATCTCTTCCAGGGTCACCACAACGTGTCATACCTTGTCCGTGAACGACGATCCAGATATCATCCTTTTTGTTGTGTGTTGCCACCTCGGCCAAGGAATATTCGGGCAGCTGGACATCCGCTAGCATCTGAGCCGATGACTCTGATGGTATAGAAAGTTCCATTGTCAATGTTGTCTCTGTATCAAAGAAGGGATTCAAGTTGGTTCAGGGAGATTTTCCTGACTCCAGGTCGCGGGATAACTGCCGCGCAATATAACATGGTTTGCCAGCAGTAGCATAGCACGGCATAAACCGCCATTGCGACTACTCTGATTGCGCGACTTCTTTTTCCTTTCCTTTCTCTTTTCCTTTTTTTTTTTCCTCTCCTTTTTTTCTTCTAATTATTTTTCTCTCGGGACAATTGGAAGGGGAGTAGGGGAAAGGGATCCAGTCGGCCCACCTGCGTCGGAGATTGTAATTTCGAAGTTGTTGCAGCGGCCGGTTTGCCGAGTGAGCAGCGTAACTCTGTAGGGCGAACTATGCCGGTTTGTGCCTCTTGATGAAAATCCTGGGAAGCCAATGTTCGATTATGCTTAAGACCGAAGCATAATCGTAGTTCTCATGTACTGTACTTAGTACGCATATGTATTTGCGGTGGGCCCCGAAATGACGATCGCTTCCTGTCTTGAATTCTTCCAACGTTGCGGGTTGACTTGCCGAGGCAGGCCGTCAGGCCACCGATGGATCCTGTCATCCCCGTTCTCTTCTGTCTGTGTGTGTGTGGAAAATATCTATACACTATGGAGTAACTTATGTGGATTCGTCTTCCTGGTCAACATGGCCGCGCTTGTTTTGATTTGTCCGGCGCATGGTCCAGACGGAGGTTGTGTCGCATCGATTCTCGATCCTGTATAACGCGTATAAAGCGGCATGGCGCGCAGAGGAAATCCGACTGCCCTACTATCTCTTCACTGCATCGTCACCCATAAACGGTAAACATGCCAGCCAAACAATTTTACCTGTTGGGTGAGCCCATTGCCACTGCCAGGGAGATTGAGGTGGACTCAGCTCTTGATTTTGGAGAACTTCAGCATCTTCTCGCTGCGCATTTCGCCATTGTTGATCCCAATGGTTTTAAACCCCCCCCTCCCCCTTCCCCTTCCTTCTGCCTCTGCCTGGATTTAAGGCTCTCCTGTGAAGTCAAACTGAACAACGACAGGCATCGGACTGCAGACCGAGGACGCCATTTTTCACGGAACCTCTGAGGTGTGCTCATCGGAAGTCCCGATCAGCATCACCATCGATGGGAAGCCGGTCAGAGAAATCCCCGGACCCCAGGGGATCCCGATCTTCGGCAACTTCTTCCAGATCTATCCCGACCATCTTGGAAACCACCAGCGCCTGTTCGAGCAGTATGGACCGATCTTCCAAACCAGCAGCATGGGCCGCACGACCTACCACACCAATGACCCGGCCCTGAGCGCCATCATCTTCTCGGAGAGCGACTTCTTCACCAAAAAGATCAACGAGGCGCACCCGCTGTACCCCATCAAGAACACCGAGGCCGGTGTCTTCCTCGCCGACACCGATAGCCCGACGTGGCATGTCGCCCACAAGTTCCTCCCGCCGGCCTTCGGTCCCAAGGCGGTGCGGCACTACGCGCCCACCATGCAGCGCACCGTGGAGGACGCATTCAAGGTGTTCGACGCCTTCGAAGAGGCGGACGAGGCATGGAACGTGTACCAGTACATGCTCAAGCTCGGCTCGCAGGCGGTGGGCAAGCTGGTCCTGGGCATCGACTTCCAGCACTTCGCGTCGGCCACGGCCCCGCCCCACGAGTTGATTCTCCTGATTGCCGAGTCCCTGGAGCTCAACAAGAAGGTGAGTGCCCGCGGCGATTGGTACTCGAAGCTCCCCTTCGGGGACCCCAAGCGCTTGCGGGACATCCGCGGCCGGGTCTTCCAGCTGATCGACGAGTCGATCCAAAATGCGAGCCGCGGCGGCGTCCATGATCTCCCGCTGCAGGAAGCGGCTCTGCAGGCGGACAACATGATTGATTACGCGATCCGTGCAACCGACAACAAGGGCGAAAAGCTGCCCAAGACTTCTCTGATGCAGGCCCTGCTCGTGGCCACTGGCGCCGGCTTCACCACTACCAGCTCTCTGCTGTCATGGCTGATCTATTCGTTGGTGACCTATCCCGGCATGCAAGAGAGACTCCTCCAGGAGCTGGTCGACCACGGTATCACCGAGGATACCCAGCTCACCGCCGACATCACGGATCAACTCACATTCATGGATAAGTTCATCAAAGAAACTCAAAGACGCCACAATCCATCGTTCCAGGTAGGAAAAGCCGTCTTATGCTTCCTGTAGCATACAAAATCGCCGTTGAGGACCCTGACCAATAGTTAACTGACGTGCTTTTCTACGCAGCCTGCGCGGACCGCCAAGGTTGATATGATCTTGCCGGGGGGGTACAAACTCCCCGAAGACGCGGTTGTTGTCGGGGCATTGCACCATCTGCACAATAACTCCAATGTTTGGGATAATCCCACTCGGTTCGATCCGGACCGCTGGGACACGGAGGCCGTGAAGAACCGGCATAAAACCGCATACATCCCTTTCGCAACCGGCCCCCGTATGTGTATTGGTTTCAACTTTGCACTTCAGGAGGTGAAAATATTCCTGCCAAAGCTTCTGTACCGATACAAGTTCACCCGAGAGGGGGATTCGACGGTAGAATACGACCCAATGTTCCAGCTCATCAGGCCAAATAACCTATATGTGAGAGCGGAGCGGCGGGTGAAATGGCCTTCAAAGTCGGACTTTAAGCCGACAGCTTCATTGTAGTCAGTTCCAACGTCTTCAGGGCCCTGACGATCTTGTACATATTACCATTCTGAGAAACATCTTCTTTTTCCTCAGCTCGTGTGCTCTATATCCCCCCCCCCCCCTCTCTCTCTTTCTCTTGGCGTGATACTATCTCTCCTGCGCAGATTGATCTTCAGTGCACTGGTAGCCTGGCACAAACTTTAGTCCTAGCCAGCTATCCTTAAACAGTGAGCATCCAAAAATAGGAGTAAGAAGCGCTAAGCACACATTTTAGCGACCAACCGAACCTCACAATCAGTACAAAGGAGTCAAACACTCGCAGCATGTAGCGATGCTACAACGGATACACCCCGCATACGTTTAACGACTTGATCCTTGACTCAACAGGCACCAAGAAGAACTGAGAGAGGTAGACAAGCTTCTTAAGAAACAGGTAAGTCTCAGCGTACCGGAAAATAAACCATGCCATGACTGAGGCCATACATAACAACAAGTTGATAGAAAGACCACTACACGCTAAGTTTTCCTCCATGCAAACGTAGCCTTCCTTTCTCTCTTATCAACCCCAAGAGAGGCCAAGAGGCTGAGCCTTACTATATTTCGAAGCACCTTGTGCCTCTTGATTCTGTGTTACCTTATGTCAAGATTCGGCATTGTTGCTGAGCGGGAGGACCCTATACATGACCATGGTACTAGTGCAGGATGCTGTTCACGATTTTCTTAGGTGCTGTACTATCCTCTCCTGTAGCTTATAAAGGATACACGATGACAAGTAATAAGTCTGCTATATTCACAGAGGAGGAGTGAAACAATATGATGTGTTCAATATCGGAGCATGTGTCCTTGGGACCTAAATCTGCAATTACACTACAGCAAGGGTGATATCGCCTGCAGTCTCACAGACTAACGACCATATTCATGTATATTTAATCACTAATTATGTGAAAGCAGTCGAAGAGGACGAGATCCACCTCGACCAGCTCGGTGCAGTCGATTTACCGGCCTACTGGGCGCCTTGCGATTTCTCGGTCGCCAGTCGGCCGATCACCTCAATACTGACACTCGAATGTTCTACACGGGCTATAGCATCATTTTGAATGCAGGATCTCGGTCATCATGGCATCCGGCGTACTGTGCATACTTACCTTGTGCCTTGTCCCGGTTGATCTTGGCACAGTATAAAACATTGAAAAAGATCCTGCGGCTCCATATCAGCTCCGTGCAAGCATCCCTTGGGGGCATCCACCATCTAGTCGCTCAACTCACATGAACCATGCAAACACCAACAGTCCCATGATTACTGTATGTCCTCGATAATACTGGGATTTGTCTTGGTCGGGGTAATTGAAAGCTGCCTTATTATAAGCGCGGTTCCAGTTACTGCTGTGGCTACACAAGGAGGAAAACCTACTAGCAAGAAGCCCTCCACAGTTGGCAATGGTTAGCTGCATGGCAGACGTGGTGGCACGCTTATAATGTCCTGCAGAGTTGTTTGAATTCCAGACCAAGATGCATGGTACACTGCTATACAACCCAGTAGCCATAAGACAGGTCATTGCATACTTGGCTGATGGCGAGAGAATATTGGCAATCGCTCCGTAGCCAGCTATGGCAATCGGTAACGTGAAAAGCATCACGACTCCGCGTAGCTGCAACCGGTCCGATACCACAGCCACAACCACTAAGCACGGTTTAGCTTTGTGGTAGATGCCGAAAGATGGATTGCTCGGAGACTCACCAGTCACGACAGTGGCAACAGCATATGGTATCACGGTCCAGAATTGAACTTGGTTCGGATCTCTGGCAAAACCACTTTCTTCAATGATGGTTGGAAGCTAGACGTTGTAGCATGCTGCATTAACCCTAGTAGAGGAGAGCCGAGAACGTAGGTCACTTACAAACAATCCGAATGAGTACAGCCCTGACAAAATTGAGAAGTAGGCTGTGGCAGACAACCACATTCGCGGATCTAGAAGCCCTCGTCGCACCTCAGTCCACTTGAGAGTCTCCCGCTCATCCTCCGTCGTCCTGATCTCAAGAGTCAGTTCGTCCAGGTGGGTAGGTATTCTGGTTTGTAGAATGACAAAGAGCAGCTCTGACTTACGCGTACTCAACTGATGGGGTGTCAAGCATGACTCTTTCGAGAGCAAATGCTCGTTCCTCTGGAGTCAAGAAGAATGCCGTCTCCAGACTGTTTGGCAGCAGAAAATAGCTCAGCCCGCCGACAGAAAATGTCTTTGCTCCATATTAGACGAAACACTAACTCACTACCGTGCGTGGTACAGTAAAACTCACCAGTAAACCCTCGATGATCATGATCCAGCGCCATCCTTCAAGCCCCCCTCGAGGGCCAATCTGGGCTAGTCCACGCGCTAAAAGGCCTTCAGCTTGTTAGTTACAGCTCCTGCATAACTCCAAGTAAGGATCAAAAAGTCTCTCAACCAATTTCATCCCACAGTTTGTTTACTTACCTCCAAAAGCCCCTGACAGGGATGCAGCTGTATAGAAAACTCCGATGCGCAAAGCCAAATCATTTCGTCGGTAGAAGAATGACAGATACAAGACCTCGAGACGGAATCAGTCAGTCAGCTCCAGAGAAAGAGAAGCCTAATCAGAACCCACGATTCCGGGAAGTAGTCCGCCTTCGGCAATTCCCAAGAGGGCTCGGACAACGACGAAGCCAGCAAAGTTGCGCACGAAACCCAAGCACATTGTGAATATGCCCCAGATCATCGTCAGAAAAGGCAGCCAAACCTTGGGCGAGGCCTTTCTGATGACCAGGTTACTGGGGAGCTCGCTGATTGCCGTTTTACAGAACGTAACCAAATTAGTACCAGAAGTGAGAAGGGGCTCGCAAGGTGAAGTCAAGGGTAGCCACCAAGGGGAGAAGAACAAAGCTGATGGTGTGTCTGGCTTGTCTCACCTGCAGATGTACATGATGTAGAATACCGTCAGACCAATATCATATTGATGACCGGTGATGTTGATATCGTCCTCCAGGCCCAGGATCTTGGCGTTGCCTACATTGGTCCGATCGAGAAAAGAACAGAGGAAGAGACCAGATAGAGTCGGCAGGAGCCTAAAAGAAAACGCATTGGAGGTCATGGAAAACGTTGATGATGAATTCTTGGCTCTACCTGCAGTCCATCTTGAACAAGAGATTCCGTACCCATCGCTGATGTTCTTCGTCGTCGTCGTCGTCGTCGTCACGGCCTGGTTGCACGTAAAGTTCCTGCTTGGCGGATTCGTGGTTCTTGCTTTGCAACTGGAGAGGATCCATGTTCTGCATACTACTTTCGGGTGTTGGGTTCATGGATTATGGTGCATGAAGGGATAGTTTAGCAGCTGTTCCAGTCAGAGGAGTAGCGAGCGTGGATTGAGATCAGTCAGGGAGGAGGAAGCTATCGGAAGCAATCAGACTGCTGGCTGTGAGAAGGGGATGCAAGGGGAGTTACGGGTAGTAGTAGTAAGATTACTCCATTGAGCAAGCAGGCATCTGAAATCGTACCGTACACAGCCCCAGATTAAGAAAGGACCTACCAAGTGAAATGCCAGGTAGGGTAGGTACTACCTAGTACCAGGTACCTAGTACTTAGTGCCTAAAGGAAGGAACGCATCCACCCCCACCCCTAGTCCTCTTTTCCCCGCACTCTTTGCGATTGTTTCTTCCCCGGATTTGGTTGCTGCAAGTGCGATCATGGAGCATGAAATCGCCTCGGTATGCAATTCTAGTTACCGTGCGACGGTTTCTCTTTCTCACACCGAAACTTATGTATATACAACTGGAACTTGAACGTACAGTACAATCTAAGAATCGGACGCACTACCAATAACCCATTACTCCATGATCTCTAGATGATCTGCGACCGCAAAGCTCGCTCCGGTCTTACTTTTCACTTCCTTAACTTCCACTCCCGGAGCAAGTTCCGTCAGCAGGAGCTCCCCTTTCGTCCGATCCACTTGGAACACACACTAACCACGCCCATTAGCTATCTAGAATCCCAGGAGCCGTCGATTTGCGAGCTTACCAGGTCTGTGATAATCGTACTAACGCAGTTTGCTCCCGTCAGAGGGAGACTGCATTGAGATACGATCTTGGGCGATCCGTCCTTTGCTGTATGATTGGTAGCTACCACAATTTTGGTTTGATCGGGGTTGGAAATCAAATCCATGGCCCCTCCCATCCCCTTGAAAACTTTACCGGGGATCATGTAATTTGCCAGATCGCCGTTGGCACCGACTTGTAGAGCCTTGAAATGAGAGAGTCAGTCCGAGGTATTCTGCCAACGATGGGCGAAAGTAGTCAACACATACTCCTAGAATAGAGACATCCACATGGCCCCCACGGATCATGCCGAACGACTCGGTACTATCAAAGGTGGCAGCTCCCGGAACTAGGGTAACTGTCTCTTTTCCTGCATTGATAATGTCCCTAGGAAGAGCCGGGTGAGAAATTCGAGCGTGAGCGGCTTGTAGGTATCGGGAGTTAACCACTTACGGATCCACTTCTTCCTCTGTGGGATAGGGGCCCTGTGAAAGCAGTTAGTCATCTTAGATCTGAAGGTGTAGTTGAAAGAGATCTCTTACCATGCCGAGAATACCGTTTTCGGACTGTACCCAGACTTTCACATCACGCGGCAGAAATGAGGGAGCAAGGGTCGGGATTCCTTCAATTTCATGAGTATACTTGTAGTGAGACATATTGTGTCATACCACCTACCAACTCCCAGATTCACATAGTAACCCTGCTTGAGCTCCTTGGCAGCTCTCCTGGCGATGCGATTTCTTTGGGTCATTGCTGCATCCTTAACAGCTGCAACGGCGCCTTCATCATCGCTTGATCTCAGTTTCTTGATTTCTATGTGCTTTTCTTCAGTAGCGGGGACAATCCGATCAACGAAAATCCCCGGAAGATCGACGTCATTGGGGTCAATCGAGCCCACGGGTACGATGTTCTCTGCTTCAACTATCGTGAGGGTAGCTGCCTTTGCCATGATCGGACCAAAGGCCTTGGTAGTGTACCTACAATTGTTCTGAGGTTCAGTATATAAAGTGCATCGGGGGGTGCAATCGTGGTGCATGATCCTTACCGAAACACACAATTTCCTGCCTCATCGGCCTTCCATGCTCTGAGGATTGCCACATCTCCGGTAAGTGCAGTCTCCATTAGATGAGTCTTGCCATTGAATATCCTGGTTTCACGTGGTCTGCCATGCTCGAGCACTTTTCCGTGCGCATCCAGCCGAACGGGGATTGCTCCATCTTGTAGCAAGGTATCTACTCGATATAAGTCGGTGAAGTTCACATAGTAGCCATTGTTCGTACCCGGCACACTATTAGAGAGAGATTGACGTGGAGAGACATACGTGCACCTGTGGGGGTGAAGAAGGCTGGAATACCAGCACCACCAGCACGTAGCCGCTCAGCCAGTGTTCCTTGCGGTGTGAGCTCGATCGAGATGTCACCCGAAAGATACTTCTTTTCCAATGCCTTGTTATTACCAAGGTAGGAGAGGACAAGCCGACTCACTTGTCCAGCCTGCGTTAGCGTTGAGAGCCCGCCTTTCCCAGCAGCACCTGCATTGTTGGAGACTGCAGTTAGTGAATGTAAATTTTCCGCACCTCGGCGATGAATCGCCGCTATCAGAGTTTCTAGTCGCAAGGTCAGTCATTCAATTTTTCCAGGGTTTTAGTACTATAGCTATTACCTGCAACACCACAAAGGCCAAATCCTGAGCTGAGAATGGTTGATCCGCTCTTCAGGTCGGCCACTGCCTCATCGGCACTTCCGATCAGTTTTGAGGCCCCGCGGTCGATCCTTGGGGCCCGTGAGTAGGTCTCGTCCCTGGCTGTCGAAAAGTGAGCAGAAGCCAGGTTCTTACTACCTAGAAAGGGCCGAGGATTGGCTTGTCGCAATCGCAGGGGGTTTTGCGGCCGAGCGGCCACTATTGTCCTCCGCGACAAAGCAAACGTCGAAATTCTGAGTGTAGCCATAGTCAAAATGTTCTGCCTGTTGCTCTGTTTGCCATAAGCATTGGTTTGACTCTCGAGTTGGCGCGACGAGAGGGACAGGAAGACATTGGTTCTTAAAACAACCTGGGAAGGTCGGCACCCTTCCAGTTCGGCCTTCGGGGCTACTTCTGAACGCCGACGAGTGGATCATGCGCACTGATGTAATCGATAGATAGGAGAGCTACAGTAAGTTACAAATTGTGAGTACCACACTGTTTGTTTGAATACAGCGATGATGAACGGAACTGTGGATCAGTCAATGAATTATGCACTGCTAATGTCGGTCGCATTATTGCTTCCAAAGTCAAGCCAGTCCCAATGCGTCAAGTCATCCATAGGAATACCAGGAACAAACGTCCCGAAGGCTGTGTCCACTTGGTTGACGGCATCAATGATTTGATCATCAGACATGGCGGAGAATTGAATTGGTTCGGACCAGAACATTGAGGGCAATGAGGATAATTCTTGCGTTCTGATGACAGGCTCATAGGAGCCTTCTGTGGTTGGCGGCTGAGACCTTTCGGCCTGTGTTAGCGGCAGTAGTTCGGAGGTTTTTTCGGGCTGCAGGCTCGGAGAGCGCCGAATAAGCTCTCGCAGGAACCTTCCATACAGTACCGAGGTTCCGTTCCTGTGGGCTGGGGCAGCCCCTATCCTTTCCAGCACCGCCGCAGTTTCTTCAACCAGATTTCGCACGCTAGGGGCCAGGCTAGATCTGCTATTTGCCGGCATGGCACTTAAACTCAATGCCGAGCATGCCGCGAACGAAATCATGATAACAGTATTGTTCGGCATTGACTTCAACCGAGACTCGCCCTGAATAGCTGCCCTCAGGACATTCAACGCAGACGAGAGGCCCGCTGCACGGAAAAACCTCTTCACTTCGAGTGGCGCTGTGGGGTGATTGATCACGCCCCCATATGTCGATAATTGCGTGTGTATAACCAAGATCTCAACGTACGGTGGAAGAGATGATGCTTAATATACTTTTAGCACCTGTTGGGGAAAGGTGACGACAGCTGCCTACCTTGACCTTCGCCAATAGCCGGTGTCCAGTCCTTATACCATTGCCCGTAGAAACTCTCAATGAGCTGTTTTATCCTGATTATCGAAATCAGCTTCAGATTCCGAAAATCATCACTCGCACGCACAGTTGAGCAGCTCCCGAGCCAGTATTCGTGGATTTATCGCACTCGGCTCTTATTCTTTTCAAAAGCCCGTCCTAGTAAGCGAGGTATCATGTTGTTTCTGTTAGAAGCGTTCCATCTGAGCCTTACGCGAATTCAGCCCAGGCGGGGAAATTCAACTCACCAGATTTCTTCGGAGGACAGCCATGGAATTCATTGGACCATCGCGAGAGTCGGCAATATCAGAAAGGTGCCATTTATCACAGTTCTCAATAAGGGCTGTTGAGGGCACCGTATAATTTCTCCCGCGAGCAAGGCATACACTGTAGGCATCCTTAGAATACTGCAGGGCAAATAATATTCTCTGTATCGTTTCAAGATAAGAGAGCTTACCCTCGTTCGAGTACGAAAAGCGCAATCCACGCCCTCTCGCGTCGTCGCAGAAGCCTACGACCCCACACAGAGTCTGAAGCCACGTCACCAAAGCCGTCCATCTGCAGTGCTCTCTTTGCATCGATACAGTCAGCTTTGGCGAGTCGCTTTAGAAGACTGCTGTCGAAGCTTGTCGAGGGAAGTACGATTTTGTTTAGAGATAGATCCAATGCAACAGTCAGGGCCATCGCGATATGAATGCAGGTATCGTCATCACCTAAGCGGTTCCCAGGGCCCATCCACGGGACATTTACCATGAAAGCAAGAACTATCTCGACTGATCGATGCCGCTGAATGATGACATTATGAGCTAGGGTTGCACGATGTCTAGATAATCTTTTCGATATTGCTGCGGATGAGGGCAAGAACAATGCCGCCGCAGCAATTATTGAGGTGAACAGAAACGCGGACTGCGAACGGACAAATGGCACACTATGGATCAGAGGGTCGAGACCCCATCGAGTGTGGGCGAGATTGCGGTAGAAACTGGACGGGATTAGTGATTTCGGTGGTTGAAGAGGAATTGGACTTATCTTTGGACATACTACAAGAAAAGCGACTCTGCTTCGTCGAGCGTGACGAGCCCCAGCTCAATGGGGTCCACCGTGGGACCAGTGTCCAAGCTTGCGCTCGTGGGAATAAAGAAAGATGTGGCTGAGGCCATAGTGTCGCCGTCGTCAACGTTGTAGATTCCCGATGGCTGCAATATCGTCGAGGATTTCAATTCCGGTACACCACGCATGTCACTTGGTGACAGCTGTAGGTCGGAAGCGCGTGCAAGCAGTTGCAAGGGGTTCTCTGCATCATCCAGTGACAAGCTATCCCCCGGATTGTCGTACTCGGCGGCTGATATACTGGGCGATCCAGCGGGTTCTTCTGATAAACATTCCGTCTCGCTATGCGGATTTTGCTCTTGTATGTTGTCGAGCAGCCCCCGGAGGTTCAAGATCAAGTTTTGGGCATCCTCAGCTCGGGGCCGCTTGATGGCCTGCTCAATCTGATGCAATGCCTTTTCCAATCCTTTACGCTTACTGACATCAGTGTGTCAGTATGAATTGTCATTGCAAGTCGGGTAAATGTATTCAATGCGCACTTTTTGACGCCCTTCTGTCGACCGACATGGTGACTCGGAATCACACATGTTGCATCGGCTTGCCTGCATCGATCACAGGACGTTTCGTCATTGGTGCGATTGCATCGAACTTTGCTTTTCCTACAGTTCAAGCAGGCAGCCTGTCGAGCATGCGACATCGGACGTGTATCAGGCGGGAGTGTTCGATTATCCATTGCGATAGCCCGGGGGGTGTTTGTTGGAAAGCGGGTATATATGTGTGATCTGCGGGTGTCATCATATGGCAGGATGGACACTCATGACGGAACGCAGAATGCCTCCAAGGTACGAAAAGTGCCAACAGGCAGGGTAATAACAGCGAAGTTATATTTGCACACTGCCCAGGGTAACGCCGGTCTACACCTCAAGCGTCGGGGTGCAAGTAGTAAAAGAAGCAAGGGTTGGGAAGAGGGTATTGTACTGTACAAAAAATGATTATGGTGTTATCGAACAGTTCAACCACGGAATCGCAAAAACATGTAAAATATGGTAAAAGCCGAACGCGGGGGTTGAACCCGCAACCTTGAGATTAAGAGTCTCACGCTCTGCCGATTGAGCTAGCCCGGCTGGGGTGAAGGAAGAAAGAATCGGATTCTATAGCCGAACGCGGGGGTTGAACCCGCAACCTTGAGATTAAGAGTCTCACGCTCTGCCGATTGAGCTAGCCCGGCTACCTTCTGTTCTGTGGGCCTTCTTATGCAATATGTACGTAATCTAAATTGTCAAGCCGCCGCAATAGCCAGAGCATCTTGCAGACAGGTCATGTTAAGTAGTTGGTTCGTCAGCTTAGGTAAACAGCAGAAGTCACTTGGAACTTGTCAGTTCATGCTGGACTGCTTAAATATACAATGAAGCGAATCTGCATTCGATTAAATGCCTGAAGGTATCCTGAAATGCAAGTGTATACCGTCACAGGGTATGCAAATTCATTCTTGTACCTATCGGGTCCATGTTTACAGAGTATCACGATCCTCACCAGTTAAGGAGATTTGCCACCGGTGAGTATATATAGTACGAGGAACTCGAAGACCAGTGCAAGACGAGTAGGGGACCCAGGTCCCAAGCACCAAAGCTGCCCAATACCACCAAGGAAAATCGAAATGAATCAGCAAGCGAACACGGCTCGGCCATGAGATAGATTGTATGACCCAGTTGTTGACCGATATATTATAGACCACCGTGCCACATGCTATGTCGTCAAAGCTCCATAGGATATCGCCTTTAGAAGATGAAATTAAAGCAGCCGGTTAACACCCAAAGTAGCAACCTGAACAGCAAGCCTGGCAGGTAATAATGAAAAAGCCACTTGCCATCACCGTATTCGCGCCAGCATAAGTTGCTCAAAGTAAAAGAAACAAAAAGAAGACAGAAACGAACGGAGTAGAGACCGTACAAAATCGCATCTAATTTGCTGCCCGTAGAGCTCTCAGTCTAGCACCCAGACCATCCTCCAGCTCCGAGTCAACTTGTTTCTGATCCCTGACTTCCTCTCGAGGAGCAGCATCTTGCTCTAATGCTATGCGCAGATCTACGCCGGCATCGTCCGCAAGTTGTTCCATCAAGCGATCAACCTCGGCCTCACCCTCCGCACCGTATTCTTGCATCGAAACTCCCTGGGCGACATCCTCTATGGCACTGCTTGCTATTTTGAAATCCTCGGAGCGCGCCAGGAAATTGTTTGCGTGCGAGACCAGATTCTCTAAGTTGACACTTTTCGAAGCCGCATCCAGTCCCCTTGAAGCCAAGGCAAGAGTCCGGGAGGTATCTCGCGTACTTTGTGCTGCCTTCAGTTCGTTGATGATGACATCTGCGCGAGCAGCCTCGGCTCGGAGAGTCACTTGCCTTCTCTTTTCACGTACAGCAGATGCGGCATGAATGCGAGCGATTTGAAACTCTCTATTTTTCATTGCCTTGTCGGCCTTCGCCTTCTCAGATTTGAACGTCGCTTCGGCACGGGCAGATTCCTTTTTCAAGCGATTGGAGTGCAGCTACAAATTGGGAGCAGAACATTGCGTGAGTCAAGGTGGAAACTTCAGCATAAAATGTGGCTGGTCGCAGCGAGATATCGATGCTATCACTGCTGCGGGGGCAGAGAACACAAACACACCTTGACATTGGTACGAGCCTCAAAGATCGGGTCCTTTCGAACCATGTTGGGCAGTGAGTAAGCTAATACCAATAATTGACACTTCGAGGTATTGAGGGGAAACGATGAGAAAGATGACCGACGCCCTAGGAGGTCAGAATAGGCTACTTTCTCAGAAGGGGGAACGATAGCGGCGGGGCGGGGACTTAGCGTGGCAACGTCATCACGAACTTGGAATGCCGTGTCAATGCATTTTTATGGTGGTAGCTACGCCGCACTTGGTAGATAGTGTAGAAGAATAGCAGGCTGGGTACTCAGAAAGGATAGTAGAGCTAATTTCTGATCGCCGTTCGTGTAATTAGTTTGCAACATTTACTTGTTTCACATTGGATTTATGTGATTAATTCATTTACAACGTGTAGTTCTGTCGCCCTGATCAAACAAACTGAATATGATTCGTAAATATCGCGAAGATTCATGTCTCTAAAAGCCGAGAGCAAAAAAGAAAAAGAAGAACAAGAGTATGCGCAAATTAGAATGTCCCAAATAACGCCAATGCCAGTCACGGCCCTGATCATATCACAGCTAAATGCAAGGGGATGAACCATTTCCGACACATGACTTCGTGGCGATAAGACTATAATGTGACATCCATCGTATCATCACCGGCATCGACTGCACCTTGCCGTTCAGAATCAGGTAGAACAACCCCTCTTCCTCTACCAGCGAGCAATTCGCGCCTAACCTCGGGCCCGATGTCTTTGTGGCCTTGAACCAAGAGCAAATCAAGGAGTGCCTCTCGTTGGTCCTCGGTGATATCGTTGCGGTAGCGCTGGGCGAACACAAGCAATGACTGGTGCCACAAGACAGGAAGCTTGTAAGCCCTAGCGTCACGGGATGGCCCATCTGTCATCATTGACTCGTCTGCACTGTCGTTTGCGCGGAAACGCAGGAAGTGAAAGACAAGCGCATCAATGACTTTGTATGGAAGGGCGTACTTCTTCTCCAAAAAAATGCGGATGAAGACATTGACCGCACCGGTACTCTCCAAAGACCGCAGGGATTGTTCCGCAGCAAGGTCGCACATACGAAGCAAAGCCGCAGCCGAATGCAGGACAGGAATTGAGACTCGAGCAATGACGGAGGAGACAATATGGGCCTCACGGAGAGTACACGTTCCGCTGGAAACCAGGGGAAATAGTAGTCCCTTGAAGAAGCAAGCGGGCTTGTAGAGTGCTTTCTTCATTGCATTGTAGGTATGAACATTGAGCTTCTTGGTCTCATGTATTTCCTCACGGACACGATCGAGCAGTACCGTCGAGATAAACTCCTGTGCAACTGCAGGCTTGGAGGAGATGAAGATTCTTGTACCGGCATAAACAGCGTTGGCAGACCAGGATTCTGGGCGTGTGATCGAGAGAAGGGTTGGCCAGTTGGGAACAGAGGGGAGAATCTTGAAAGGTTTCGGAAGGGGTCCTGACTTGTAGCGAGAGAGAATCATACCGACTCTGGGTTTCTCATTAGCAATCAGAAAGTACACTGTAGAGCAACTTGAGCATAAAAATCTCACTTCTCATAAACCTCAACCGCCTTCGCGGGGATCTGAACAGCATCTTCTGCCAGCCCCCCGCCTTGGATGTAAGGCCCACCTTCGCCAGCCTGTCTGGCTTCATGTTCTGCGATCTTTTCAAGGATCAAATCAGCCAGATTTGTAGTCTGGCCCTCGGCTCCCGGTTCACGAGGGTTGAATATCGGATCTTCATCCCCCCCAGGGACGAACTTGTGAAACATGTCAAGATCGCTAGGATCAACTTCCTGAGGGTTTAGTCAATATATGCACTGCCTTCAAAATCCCAAGGAAAATAGAAAGAACCGGGGTAGCATACCACTTCTTCGACTTCATCGACATCGTCCCATTGCTCATCTTGAAACCTCTCGTCATCCGACAAGAATTCCTCGTCTTCTAGCCGAGACTCAAAGTCGAAGGCGGTATTCGTATTGTCTGTTGTTGGGCCCATCGAAAGTTTTTGCTCCGCGGCATCCTCCTCTGCCAATTCCTGCCCGATGCGCAGGATCTTGTGAGACATTTTCGCATCAATGAATCTCTCGCCATCTTCTTGCTCCTCATCTTGACGGGATTTGCGATTAGCCTTTTTGCTTGCTTGGGTTCTTAAGTGACCAGCTGGCGTTAACATATCCTCGGCGAGAGGATTGTGCCGGCGGGCAGCAACGGAGCGAGATGCTGCTGCTTTAGGCATGTTGAGTCACTTTCGATTACCCCTGGCGTAAACCGGTATATTCAGGATTTGTTTGAGTCCAGAGAGAAAACGAGTTATTGAAGGTCCAAGTCTTTCAAGCCGCCAGGGTAAGACGCATGAAACGAAAGCTATTCGCCTCTATATCATCCTTTGACGAATGTGTGTGTGGATTTCAAGATCATGCGGTTCTATTTTTTTTTTCTGCCATGCTCATGCCTCGACCGCCTCTGAACTTGTATCATAAGTGGCTCTTTGAAACCTACCGCCCCTACCCCTCCATTATTGGAATTGGTTGCTTACAAACCTCATTCGGACTAGAAAATGCCGGCAATAGATACACTCACCGCCCCATGGCTATCTCACTCAAATGCTTTCCGCCCTTGCAAGTGGGTTCTTGGAGACCCAATAACTTCGAATATGGTGCTCATTAAATATTGCTATGGCTGGTCATCGTACAGCACAGCCTAAATCTGTTTGGGAAACTCAAATACATACTGGATCGCTTTCAGGTAAGTTGATGGTGGGTTTTATAAAACATTAGTGCTAGCTTCATGTTTTGTCATAGTCCTTTGTATTTGCAGATGATGGGTCTGTAGGTCATCTGCTGACTATCGGCCAAACACACCTGGGGCCTTGCTCTTCTTGCCATATCCCGTTCATGCTTCTAACTAGTCATAGTCACCTCAGGAGCTTGCAGTTCCCAGCGCACAAAGACAGGTCTTCTAGTTGATTAGAAGCTTGAGTCCTTCTACCTGTCACCTTCTCGTTTTCTAGTGAATTTAAGGCGACCTCAGTTAAAGGTCTAGGAGGTCTAGGAGTGCTTCAATCCAAATTATTGTATCGTGACGACATCAAACTCCAGCTGTTCTTATATCACAAGGCCGTCGCCGCCATGGCTTCTACGCAACAGACAGGATCTTCTGCGCCTCCCTCCAATATGGAATCTTCAACAGTGCCTTCTGGGGGCGCACCGCTCGGTGGGTCCTTAGCAGACACAAATGTCAGATCTTCTCCTGCGCCGCCTAGTAATGCATCAGTACAAGCGGATAGTACAAAGTC